AATATAATATAAAAAATTAAATATTTAAATGGATTTCATTGGTATTATCCTACATTTAATTTTTTTTGTTCATGTTTTGTAATTTTTTTTTTTTTTATCATTAAATTAGAATTATATTGCACAATATATCGATATTACAGAGTTCGAGAGTATTAGTCGTACCACTGACCAGAGAATCTGAAAGCAGATTTAAAATCGATATCAAAATTTCAATATTTTTCTCGCATCTCTAGTGGCAACGCCATTTTGTGTAGAAGGGAAAAATTGAGAATAGCTAAACGGGGATTTCTTTGTGTTAATACTATATTATAAAAGAAATTGAATATATGTAAATTTGAGTTTCAAAGTGCTGTGCAATTGTAATATATTTACGGTATGTGAAAACCGTCGCATAAATACGCATTCTCAAGTGCATGCAAACTATGTTAGTATTCTTATGTGTGTAACTGTCTACATGTATGTATATGTATACTTGTGCAAAGAAACTTGTTTGACGCAGATATACTTAACATAAGGGTATATACATACATAGATAAATGTTTTGTTGCTTGCATTTAAAATTACAAATATGTACATTATAAATTCGGATAACTAATGTAATGTATTTAATGAATGCAATAACAAATTATATTTGACAACCGTGGCCATTGGTCGAAATTGTGGTTTTAAGTAATTCTGGAAAACTGCTTGATGTGTAGGTATGTATATATATATACATACCTAAATGTTCGAAAATACATTGATTAAAAACATAGGTGTCCTGTATCATTTATGAATTTAGTTCGTATTTTTGGGTCAAATTAATCCATATACCAAAAAACGAACAATTGAATCATTTTTTTTACTGCACAACTTAGAATGCATTTTGTAGACGTAAAGGCCAGGAGTTGACAAAACTTGACCCAAAACGGAGGTATGCTTATAGCTGTATACATGTACATACATGTTTAAAGATGTATTTGTGTCAATAAATCAATGTTTAGCATTTAATATATAATGGACTCATCGTATTCAAATTAAACAATTACTTTTTTAAAATTGTATTTGCCCAACAACGTTAGGAGTTATATCATTGAATTTTATCAATTAGTTTCATGTAATTTATTTTTTACTGTTTATATTACGTAAGTATAGTTGTTTAGTTAAATTTAGTTAAAGAACTTAACAGAATGAAGCTCAATCTTAGACTTCAGGCGTGGAAGAGTTGAATATACATAATAATTTTTAATTTAATATTCATTAATAAGTTAACGTTTCTGTGAAATTAAAAAAATAAAGTTGAAAATTAAAAAATGTAAGATATACGTATCATGTATTAGAACACGCTAATTTTAATGTAGTTTATTAATATACTGCAAATTATCCCTTCACATCGATATAAAGAGCTTAGCTAAGTAATTTGAATAGCAATATGAATAGTTAAACAATTATAAAACAGAATCATCGGAAATTTCATTCATGACCGACTGAACTGCACTATTTATAAAGGAGGTTATTTAGGTTATTTCAAAGGATCTCGTAGTCGATAATGTAGTCTTATTTGCATTTGTTTGCAGGAAAAAAGTTTTTAATTATACCTAATTTAAATTTGAATATTTACTGTTAGTGATATAACATAGCCATAACTCTTGAGTGACTATGTATGTACATACATATATTATTGATCAGGCCTGTCTGTCTGTTCGTATGTATAAAAGATCTCAAAACCTATCTCAACTGGAGACTCAAAATTGTTTCCAACATCCCTTATTTATATATTTAATTGTTACAAAGAATGAATTCTAAATAACAAAGTTTGAAGTCAGAGCAACAAACCCCTTCAGACAGACCTATTTTTATACCCTGAACCCATTTTCAATGGGAAATCAGGGTATAATGGTTTTGTTGAAATGTATGTAACAGGCAGAAGGACGCGTGGCAGACCCC